CGCAAGTGAACGCTGAAGCATTGGCGCTGGATCGGCGCCCAAAGGCGCTCGGTCATCCAGAACCAGCAGCTGGTTCTGAGCACGAAATTCAACAATTTCGTTTCCAATGGCTCCAGGCGCTCCATTGTCACACGAAGTTACGTATTCGTCTGCTCGACGGCCAGGTGCCGCTCCTACATAGCACGAAAATCCTCAACGTTAGGAAGTCGGTGCGCAAAGTGCTCCAGGCTCTCGCTCGGCTTCAGGACACAAAGCGTGGGTGTCGAATGCGGAGACTTGCTCTCACGCACTATTCCTGCCTCAAGCTTCGCACGAAATAAACGTCAATGACGTCACACTGCTCCTTGGGCAGTGGCGATCTGCGTGTTACTCAGTATTTGGTTCCCGGAACCAGGTCGATCTCATGACGCACACCTCGGTCCGGAGGTAGAACCGACGGCGGGTCTTTGGAGATGACGTCTTGAAGTTTTTTTTACTAAAGTATAGTACGGAATTGAGGTATTCTTCAGAATCGACGATCCACTTCGTGCGTTCAGCACCCTCTTAGTGTCCTCAAGACAGATTCATCTAGTAGAGACGACGAGTAAACCGTCTCGTTCGGCCGTATAATGACCACCTCGGCTAAATTGCCTGCCTTCAAGGCACCGTCAAGCTCTTCGAAGGACATCTCATCCAGCTAAAGAAGAGCATCTACCGCGGGAATTGCCTCGAGGGTGACACCACCGTCTTCCTCCCTCGTCTACCTTTGAGAAGGCTATATAGCCTTGCGCTGTCGTCGTACCACTCCACGCGCATCACTAAGGCCTCGACATTGATGCCTCGAAACTCGTCCGATCATGCCACTCTTGGCATACAGTAACTGCTTCGTAACGTGAGCAGTGCTCAGTGGGTTACGTACCACTCCGCTTGCATAACTGGGGCCTTGCCCTAGCTATCAAAGTTAATGAACTTGACACCGATGTCCATAGGGACCCTAGGCATAATGGCACAAGTCCCCGTCGCTAATCGAACAGTGACGGTGTCACTCAAGCGCCCTTTCAGCGCCTCAGCATACAGCTGACATACTTCGATCGTGGCGCGTTGAGCATAATCTCCCGACGCACCAAAATCGATCAGGATCTTCCATGTCTCTCAAAGCCTTTCACGATCGCTTCCACATCCTGCAAGCCCGGCTTTCGTACACGTGTCGTGTTCAAAGCATAGAGCCCTTCGGGGCTATGCTTTGCTGACTTCAATCTCCTCGAGGCTCAACAGAACTCAGTTCTTCTCTAGTAGGCCGCCCCGCGCCCACAGGGTGCTGTTTTTTAACTGCGACAAATCAGACTCGTTAGAAGCGAGACGTCGGTTCAACGAATCTTTACGCGCCTTGCGCAGGGGGTAACCAGGCCGAAGGTGATGAAAGTCGACACAGACAAAATACCGTCGGGTGTTTAAACGCTGCTCGGCAGCTCGGAGCTCTCCCTCCTCTGTCTCAGGAAAGCTGAGATCCATTGGCTCAGTCCCGCTCGACGAGCTCTGAGGGTGTTCATTCCAACCAAGTCGCTCCGACTCAAACTTGAATTCGGCATGAAATGTCACATTCACCGCTTCTCTAAAAGAAGACGGATGCACACAGAAGACTTTTATTCTGGTCACGTCAATGCGGAAGCCCTCCATATAGACGGTCACTGTGACCGCCTCGGGAAATGGATCGACTGTCGTACCGGCAATGAGAGTTCTCAACTCTTGGACTAAGTTCACCAACTCATTCTTGCTCTGTTGGGCGGCAAGGAAACGCAATCGCGCGCGATATGCGTGATTAGGCGACGAGAACAGTCGCAAAAAAAAGTCAAAAAAGTCAACACTTCAGCTCCTTCCAGAATGGGAACGTTGTTTCAGCGAAAGCACTGCTCGTTAGTGCCCATTCTCGCGTTCAGTCGACTAGCTAGAGATAACTAGCACTACGCGCTGTTTCTCGTTCTGGAGCATGACGGACGCCATAGCCATCTCGGCTTCTCTCACCTAGAGCAGTTGGTGCTCTCCATTCTTACCCTCGGAGGTTTTAACGCTCACCATGAACGGCCTGGGTCGGAAAAAGTCATTCGTCGTCGACGGTGGCGTCATAGACGCAGTCGACGCTGACGGCTTTTGCTGTAGCTCTAACAGAGCATTTTCATATTTGGAAACGTCCCTCGGACCTTGCGCAACAAGGTGCTTCAAGTCCTCAGGATCCAGCAGGGACATCAGCTTATAAATTCGTCTTGAGTACCGGTTTAAATAGGAGTATTGCACTATCACAACAGAGTATCAGTCGTAACGACCCAGAGTAGATTGACTACGAGTGACGACGTACAGCGGGCCTGCCGTAGCTCTTTGCTTAGAGGAAGCTAATCAGGTCACCGACCTTACGTCGCTACAAGAACCAGTACAAGTGTAGCGGATCGCAATCCGCTACCTCCAAGAGACTGAAAACCTTAACCAAGGTAAAGAGAATCTTCCATACAAAATAAAACTTGCATTTAATTGTTTTAGTTGCGGTAAAGCCGGCAATAGGTTTTCCAAATTTATATAGTAAATCTTTTTAATATGCATCACAACTGGCAGTCCTGCAACGAAGTGGCTTCTTGTCACGGTGTAGCCACACTATTGTATGATAACACCAACTCGTGTACTTCACACCTACAACATCTTGTGTGACCCGCCCTTTTATACAAGGGTACGTGTAACCCCGTTACAGATCAGGAGACCGATGGATATAAAAGGGATGAGGATTCATTATCGGCTCTAATTCTCCTTTTAAGCGCACGTGATTGACCCACCAACACTACAGTAAAGCCCACATATTATTTGAGATGACGCTGAATACGTTTTCGCACCAAGCCTCTCGACAGTAAAACCAGGCGTTGTGGTTGCGCTTAAACGCATCACCGAATGCTTTGGCGCATGCCAAGACATTAACAAAATGAGATGCGCAAGGATGTGGTAGCTAAATACGTCTTTAATAATTGCAGCGCCAACCAAACTGCTGCGTATTAAACAATTGACTTACTTATCGGCTGTTTGTGGCCGAGTGAACTAATTGAGGCACATAAGATAAGGCAAGCGAGCTACTGCAACGGTGATATTAGACTCAAAAGCTCTCAAGAATTCATTTTACAAGGCAACGTTACTAAAACACGTACAGATATCAAGTCGCTACGTAATGGCTTCGGCAAAGCAATCTGACGACTAAATATTAAAAAACGGTGCTCACATACAATTGTCTGACAGAATTTAAAACTCACGATTGCCTTCTCTTTCTGTTTTCGATGCATGTTCAAGTTTACAACATTAAAACTCAGTTTAATATGACTAACTAATTCTGTATATTATATATTAAAAGAAGGTACCAAAAGCTCGGTACACGCGATCCGAGAATCAACCTCCCCCTTCATACATCGGATTGAGACTCTACTTGGACACTAATTCGCCTTTGGATACGTACGTGTCTCCTAGAACGCAATGATTAATTATAATTCACTTTCTTATCTTCTTCTAGTATCACTAGTCTCGTCAATCTCATATCCTAGTAAATACCTCAATTCATCATGGCAGACTCTGCATACTCGTTCAGTTTAACGACCTTCAACCCGTCGGGTAAGCTACTGCAGATTGAGTACGCACTTAACGCTGTCAATTCTGGTGGAAAGACGTCGCTTGGTATTCGATGTACGTTATCGTTTACTATTGCAATAATATGTAAATTGGAGTTTAACTTGCTCATTTCTTGCACTGTAGGCAAAAATGGTGTCGTAATTGCCACGGAGAAGAAGCTTCCGACTATATTAGTGGATGAAGAGTCGCACAAAAAGATTGCATTGTTGTCAGAACCCGCAGGTATTGTATACAGCGGTCTAGGCCCCGATTATCGCGTGCTTGTGCGTAAAGCTCGCAAGAAGGCGCAGACGTACTTTCAAAAGTACAAAGAGCATGCACCTGCTAGCATTTTAGTGCGTGAGATTGCGGCTGTTATGCAGGAATTCACTCAATCGGGTGGCGTGCGTCCTTTTGGCGTCTCCATTCTATACGCAGGTTACGATGATGATGGTCCGCAATTGTATCAAATTGATCCATCGGGAGCCTATTTTGGCTGGAAAGCTACGGCCATTGGCAAAGATTCTGTCAGTGCCAAGACGTTTCTTGAACGGGTAAGAATTAATGAACTGTTTCACGTTAATGATAATTTGTACAAACTTGTGGGAATAGCGTTACAATGACGATTTAGAAATTGAAGACGCAATTCACACGGCGCTTTTGACACTTCGTGAAGGTTTTGAAGGCGAAATGGACGAAACGAATATTGAAGTGGGCATTATTAAAGAAGACAAGAAGTTTCAGATACTAACACCTGCGGAAGTGAAAGATTACTTGGAGCAAGCGGAATAAACATTGAACGACGGTTGTGTCAACATTAGTTTGGTTACCATGACAGGACCATTAGTGTTATTGCTTTGAATTACAACTACAATAATAGTATGTGGATTGCAAAGCTATATAGTATTTCGGTCTTTGTATTGATATTTCCATAAATGATGACAGTAGTTTAGTTGCTTGATTGTGCTTGATGGAAGACAAGACCTGTGCCTTGACCACCTAAGTGACCGACACAGTCAACTCGTAGATTGCGTTGGAAGGATGCACCAACAATATTAAACGCAGTGTAAAGCTGAAGCATCTGGGTCGACGTCATTTCGATTATACCGTAAAGTAGTAACTAGCATATAGTACAAATATTATTACTTCTGCAATAAATGACATAATACAGTGACGTACCCGCTGATCGGGAAATAATAAGCACGACATTGTGAAGACAGCAGAGACTGCTCCACTTGCACCGATAGAAAATACTATTCATATACAATAACTCCACTTAATTACATGTTGCCCGTAATATATAATGATTGCAAACAAAATTACCACTTCCATTTCCCCGAAGCTTTGACATCAGTGCACTTAGCGCAGACGACGTTAATGCAGAAGTAAAGTAGAGTGTTGTGAATTCTTTGATTGATAATAACTTTGGTTGATGCCGAAAAGAGCTGAAGTTATCTCTCACATAGCCAGCAAATCTTGAGTTTGTCACTGCTTGATTGTACCAAGAACCCGAATGATTATTACTTGGTGCCAATACATGAGGTCCAAACTCCCATAACATGAACATATTAATTCCAAAGTGTGGAAACGTGATGTGACTGAATGCTGATGTTAAAAGTGTATGGAACCGTTTGCCATGGATAACAGCATCGTACGAACTCGCAAAGTGTCGCCACATAAATTGATGCAGTTTTGCATTTCGAAATGAAACACGCCAGAGTCCAAAAATCAAAGTGTTAGCAGCAATCAACGTGGCAATACATTTCTTGTTTGTGTCTTCAAACCACTGCACAACAATGCAAAGTCTTAGAAATCATATTTATTTCACTACTCGCAAGAAGTTTCGTACCGAAATATTCAGTGGTTGTCTTCTATCATGGTAAAACAAGTCATTTCCATCACCATACTGATGATTAATTGCTGCCTTCAGGTGAGTACAATTATCTTGGTCAATTACTGCTGATGTTACAATTATACCACCGGATACAAGCCCCAAACTGGCAGTAAGCACTCGGTCGTGACGACTCTCAGGATTAATCAACAACGTTCTTTTGAGACGATTGCAAACGAATGTATGCTGCTTAATACATGGACCTGAGATAGTGAAGGATTGTATCAGGAAGTTGCTGTGAAAAGGCGAATGATGGGAGCTACGAAGGCGATTAGACAAGCGGAACATTTAGGTTTCTCGTGAATTTCAAATTCTTAACCAAAATCTACTTAATTTGATATCGAAAAGTATCAAACTTGGCAAAAACATTGGAAGAAATGTTTCAATAACACAAAAATATCAAATGTCGTATTATACTAATATTGCTAATTTATAACAATAGTTTTTATTTTACCCAAGTTGCTCCATCAGACATGCAAGTTCGTTTTGATAGTCTGCTTCAACTTCCTCGAGTCTTCGCAGCTTCTGCTCTTTCAGCATCGCAATTCGCTCTTTTATTGTAGAGTTGCCATCTGCACCAAGTTCAGAGTCTTGTGATGTGACACTATCCTCCAGTAATTTTTTATGTTGTAGTAACAGATTAGTATTTCCTTCACAATGACAATTCGTCTGGATTGTAGACTTTTTCAAAGCGTTTGATGTCTGATTCGTCTCAACTTGCTTTGTCAACTTTTTTAAGCGCATGATCACGTCAAGGTGCAATGTTTCAATTTCGACACTTGCGTCTCGATCAAAATGACTACTTGGATCCCACCGTAAATAATAGTTTGACCAGAATGCTAATGACTTCATCGAACAAGACGGTACGATGACATTTTCGCACGAAGCAACGGCTCCAAACCGACCAATATCATCGCCATCTGAACTCGCATCAGCATCAAGAGTATTCCAAAGACCGTCTAAAGACAATGGGGCACGCTCAACAGCAGCTGACATGACTCGCGATGTAAGAGACGATCGAAGTTTTGGCGTTGACGGTCTCGACATAACTTTACAATCAGTTGCACTTCGATCTGGCAACAAAGATTCAGAGCGAGGCTTAGCTACTGGAGAGGAGAGGGGAGTCGAGAAAGTAAATGTGTCCAATAGTTGAGGGAATGAGATTCCAGTATCGAGGTCGCGTACTAGTTTGTGAAAGCCTGATAGCTCCACCTTTACCTTTTTTGACTCGCTGTGATTTATGGAGTGATTCAACTCGTTTCCATCAGCATTATCGTTATAGCTCTGTTGAAAGTCAAACGATAGTTGCTCGTGAGTAGATGATAGTTCAGCATCAAAATCTGCTTCTGTCTCATTGTCTTGAGAAAGCGCTGAAGGCGGGAAGACAGTACCAGCTCCTGAGACGTTACTCGAAGGCGAATACCAATCTGATGCGTCAAAGGCATTTCTCTGATAGTGCACAAAGTCATCCATCATCGAATGATCGTAGCAAATTCTCGCTGAACGCGATAGAGAAGACTCAATAATCGATTGATCCAATGACTTTTCATAGCACTGGCGAGTAGCTGTGATGCTTTCTTTCCATTTCATTCGGGGGGCATTGTGTGGCTTGTAAAATGGGTTAACCACAATCGCACGCTCTACGGTGCTAAGATATGACCACAATGAATGCGTCGGATGACAAGACTCCTGCTCCATGCGCTCTCGTTGCGAGTTGTATAGAAATGTACCAAATCTACACGAATACAAATGGTCGAGAATAAGGATTAGAAACCGCTCGTTAAATTCAAATGCACTCGGAAACTGAGCCATGACTTGCCACACACAATCAATCCACTGCAAAAATATTGGGGATGTTTCGTTCACATTGTTGCTAGCACCGTGATAAGTTCTCTCTCGAAATTTATGTCCAAACGAGCACCACTCTTTCTCAATTAGACGTTCGAAACCGATGATTGTTCGATAGTGTGGATCAATCAACACTTCTGACAATGCCGTCAGCTGAGCTGTCCGGTCCCATCCGTCACTACAGTGAATCAAAACACTGGACTTTTGCTCTTTCACAATACGAACAATTTCAACGGCTGAGTCCAAGATACGAGAAATATGATTTAGCCAGTGTGTGGATGCCAATTGATCAAGCCATTTGTCATTATTCTGTTTAATTGTACACAGATCCATGAGTTTGTGGTAGCTTTTGCGCATCGTGTGAATATTCTCGATCCCCATAAAAATCAACTTACATTCCGTCAAAACAAGTGCCGATTCTTTTGTTTCCAGGAATTCTTTGTCACCAGCTAACGTATTCAAGTCAGAACCAGTTTCTAGCTCTCCATTGACAGAATTCCTACGAAAGGGTGAGCTTCTTGCTCCAGTTGATATCGCAGCAGCTGCTGCTGCCGTGTGCTCTGATGCAACCATGTCTACATATTTTAACGAAGACGTCGCATGCCGTGTTTCATAGTGCTCTGTCAATTCGTATCCAGCACGACCGACAGCTTTTTGAGCGACTGCATTTTTCCACGGCCGCGCGTCGATAATAACCAGCTTGGAAGACGACGGATTCGTTGCTGCAATCGCTTGAATGAGGAACACGTCTTTGTCGCATTGTTTTTGTCCCAACCCGACTAATGGTTGGCTACTTCGACAAATTACGGCACCAGTATGACGATCACGCCACGAGAGCACCGGGATACGTCCTTTTGACCGAAACTTTGATGCCACTGCAAGCAAGCTATCAGACACGGAGCTTGGAACGGCCAAAATGGACGGATACGTGGGACACAATTCATACTGATCGTTCGCGTAACTCAATCGCCATCGATTTGTTGACGATGAAATGCCCATTCGCTTAAAATCCTCTACAGCATTATAGATCTGCCAACCGTCGATTGCACCGTGAATTCCATCAAACCGTTCAAGAGAAAACCTGGCAAATTCGTCTAGTTTGCTGTCAGATTTACCCAATGCGTGCATCTGTAAAAGTGCGTATGTACGATCGAATTTACTAAACGTTTGCTTCGATACTAGCCCATCAAATACAAAATGCAAGCGACGAAAGTCTTTCCCAATCACTTCAAGCGAGCCACTGTCGGTTTCCACCGTTTCTTTACGTTTCACAAGATCGATCGTCATAAGCGGAATCGCTTGATACGCTACTATCGATTCGGTGTGTACATCACTCGCATATGGAAGTGTATCCTCTCGGATTTTGTACATCCCATTCACAATGACAACGTCATTTATAGAATGATTAGATCCAGGACTGAAGACTAGGCGGTAATTCGTCACATACAATGTGCCTAAATGTTCGATTCGTTCCATAAATCGGATTCGCACATTTCCATTTTTTACTAATACTGCTTCCCCCGGTAAAGTCTGTAAACTTTGTTCATGAGGTCCACTGGAATACTCTGTCTCTTCACTCTCTAATCGTTCAATTCTCGAGTCTTCTTGAGCAAAGACTGGCGACAAAGCCATTTCTCGTCGTCCATTAGATGTAATAATTCCTCCTTTTATCAAACAAGAATTAAAATCTAGAGATTCTTGATACTCGGATGCTCTCCGTCTTCTTTCGCCAAATCTATGGATAGTATCATTTGTTCCATTGAACCAAAATCCTGTTTTCGTTAATTCTTCTCGATCTGCAATATCACTATGACGTCGTGGAGGTTCATAAATTTGCAGTTTTTGTCGCTCTTGAACCATTTTAGCATGTGCTTTTTTCGCTGCAATTGAACACTTAGCACATACACGAACTGGAGTGACAAAACCAGAATTGACTAGCGGCATTCTGGCTGACGAACACGCGTCACAAAAGACATTACCACATCGTCGACAATGATGACGTCGTAACATCAGTGAAAATGCAGTTTGACAACTGTAGCATTTCTCAGCTAAACTATCAGGTACCCAAGCTACAATGTGGCGGCGACGATGACCTGGTGCAGATTTAGGCTGAGGATGATGTTTTGGTGTTTTTGAAGGATTTAAATGTAACTTTGGAGGTAAGAGAGACGATGATGTCGATGATGTGATGACGGGCGATACTTGAAGAGATGGAGAGGCGCGAGTAGGCAGCATATTACCAGCTTGTCATGAAGAGAAATTCAAAAGTTACGTTTTCTGTATTATCATGTTTTTAGAATGATACAAGAAAAAAAAATGATTAATATGAAATATAAAAACTAACAGGTTTTGGAACGTCGCATATCGAACAAGCTGAACGTTCTTTCTCGAAGATCTTTGGCTCATTTTCGAATCATCGCCCAAATAATCATGAGCGACCAAGCCTCAAAAGTAAGCAACAGTATAGTGGACGATGCGAATCGTCCTGAACCTGCTGCATCATCCTTTTTAGTCTCCCATGTTGATCCTTTGAAAAGTAATGATGAAAACGATGAAGATGTTCTGGAAGGGGTTCCAGATGTAAGAGATGTCCGAGAGGAGTCGGAGGAAGACACGGCGGAAAAGAATGCACGTGAGCAGGAGCTTTTGATGAGTATCCAAGAACTTCAGCGTCAGCTGTCAATGGTACAGATTCAAACGGACAAACCTGAAGAAGAGATTGTTCCTCCCGTAATGGATGCAAGACACCGATTGATTATGGTATCTAATCGATTGCCAATTTCATTCCAACGTAATGAAACGACTGGAGAAATGAGTTTTAAAATGAGTTCTGGGGGATTAGTGACTGCTTTAAACGGTATTCGAGACCAAGTACCATTTATTTGGATTGGATGGTTGGGCGAAGAGATTCCACACGATGAACAGAGTAAAGTGCGGGAAAAACTCGCATCGGAATTTAATTGTGTACCCGTTTTTTTGACTAAAGAAATTGCATCGCGATATTATAACGATTTCAGTAATGACATTTTGTGGCCCATTTTCCACTATGTTCCGTTGCCGCTCTTTCGACCTGGCAGTGAGAAAAAATTTGATTTCCGTCAATGGGACGCGTACAAATTAGCGAATAAACGGTTTGCTCAGGCTGTCAATCAAGTTTATCGAGATGGAGATTTTGTGTGGGTACATGATTATCATCTGATGACGCTGCCTTCGTTGTTACGAGCACGTCACCCTCAGTGTAAGATTGGATGGTTTCTTCATACTCCGTTTCCGACAGCCGAGATGTACCGTACGCTTCCAGTAGGACGTGAAATTCTAGAAGGGTTACTAGGTGCGGATTTACTGGGTTTTCACACTTACGACTATGCTCGACTCTTTATTGCAGCCTGCGCACGTGTACCTGGTGCCTCAACGACGCCAAAAGGTGTGGAACTTGGTGACCACTTTACTGCAATTGGAGTATTCCCCATTGGTATTGATCCGGAACATTTCGAAGGCATTTTGAAGACGGATGCTACTCAAAAGCGCATTCGAGAACTCACTGCAAAGTTTGCTGGATGTAAAATTATTATTGGTGTTGATCGAATGGATTACATTAAGGGAATACCACACAAGATGCTTGCAATGGAACGTTTTTTGTCTTTGTACCCGGAACGATGCAAAGATGTCGTTCTCATTCAAATCGGCGTCCCATCCCGTACTGGCGTGGAGGAATATCAACATTTGGCTGCGAGTGTGAATGAAATGGTCGGACGAATCAATGGACGCTTTGGGACATTGACACACTCGCCAGTGCATTATATTCACCAATCTGTGACTCCTAGTGAATTGGTAGCACTATATAACTTGGCCGATGTTTGTCTTGTGACGTCTCTGCGCGATGGTATGAACCTTGTAAGTCATGAATACGTCATGTGTCAAACCAAATCTTGTGAACCCCATCGCGAAGGACCGGGAGTGCTCATTTTGAGTGAGTTTGCGGGTAGTGCTCAGTCGTTATCGGGTGCTATTCGTGTGAACCCGTGGAACACGACAGATATGGCAAAAGCTATTGCCTGTGCGTTAGAGTTACCGCTAATGGATCGTGAATACCGCCAGACGAACCTCTATCGTTATGTCAAGACGCACTCGGCAAGTTTTTGGGGCAAAAGCTTCCTGACGGATTTGGAAGACTTGGTGTCCAGACCGCGTGCTGTTGTGAAAAAATCGGTGAAATTGCCGACTCTTGAAGTGCTTGGAGCGTATACACGTAGTAGTCAGAGACTGCTAGTACTGGATTACGAAGGAGCCTTGTCTGATGACCTGGTAGCAGCAGGATCGCAACAACGCAGCAATGTGGCACCTCCTAAGCCGTTTGTTAAACGCCTTATCGAAACTCTTGCCAGCGATTCTCAAAATACCGTCGTGTTGATTAGTGCACATGAACGAAGTGCGATTGACAGTTGGCTAAAGGATCCCCGAGTGGGAGTCGTAGCAGAGTCGGGCTACTTTTATCGCTTGCCAAATGACAGTGAGTGGCAAGTGATGACTGAAGATACTGATCCCTCGTGGCAAAAGGTGGTGCGACCTATCATGCAGTACTTTACTGAACGAACTCCAGGCAGTCGAATCGAAAGCAAAGAGAGTTGTCTTACTTGGCATTATGGTGAAACAGACCGGATTTTTGGTCCAATGCAAGCTCGTGACATGCAAGTCAATCTTGAAGATGTGTTGTGCAATTTACCCCTTGAGGTCATTCAACGTTCAAATCGTGTGGTAGTTCGACTGCAAGGAGTTACGAAGACGTTGTTGCTTGATGAGATTATGAAGCAATTTCGAGTCGATCGAGAGAATAAAGGACAACACCAGGCCCACAACCAACGAAGTCCTCCACCAAAGCTTGATTTCGTTTTCTATGCTGGCAACGGTGTTGAGGATACCGAGCTTTTTACGTACTTTAAGAAACACATGGAATTGGCGAGAAAAGACATATCTGATCAAAATGCTACTACAGCAACCACAGACGCGTCGTCTAGTGGCTTTTTCACTGCGGCGTTATCAAAGCAAGCCAACGTATTTACTTGTCACGTTGGCAGCAGCAAGACCGAGGTACATTACTTTAGCTTGATTCAGGATTACAATGGGATTGCTAATTGTATTGTATTATCAGGCCATGTTTTATTTGGAGCGTCCTTCCGATCTTGCGCGGATGCTAAGAGGTTTGTACCATTTTGTTTCCCTCAACCACATAGTGCTGATGGCTCTATAATGTTAATATTCTGTAGCTTTGGCAGTTCACAGTCGTGACGGGAGCACGCCAAAAATCCAAAGTGATCAAACGACATCTACTGACCTGACGAATCGAGAATTATATGCTTCGGCATCGATGCCGTCGCTTTTAGCATGAGGAAAGTAAGCTGACATCTTGTGAATCAATTTGGCCTCGGCAGAAGAATTAATGGCGTAGAATAATAAGTAGCGAGCGGGATTTGACGAGATTAGCATTTACGTTACGGAATTGAATTGATTGATAGGTTAATCGTTGTCTGCGTTTCTTGAGGTTCAAAGATACTCGATCAAGATATAGTGAGAATGTGAACATTTTGAGGCCATAACCAAGAACTACCAGCGAGCGAAGATCTCGAGAAAATTGATCACATATGGTGCCAACCCATGCCCAGACACATCAAAGCAAGAATTTTAACGAAGGACTTGACTAGTCCTTTTTAATCAGGGTACAGCCAAATTACAATATGGAAAAGGCTTCAACGTAGTCTTAATTATACTAGAAGCACTCTCGTAGTGTGAACTAAATAACCAACTTATCGTCTGAGGTTACAACGAAAAAAGTCATTATGTTAATGCTGATGTATAAATCGGTAACAAACTTCATCAATACTGTCCGCTATGGCATCGGAGGCGATGCTGTCGGTAGTAGTTTAATGTTTTGTCCTGCACACGTTAGTGAGAATACAGGGCATAACTTTTTCACGTGAAGGCCGGAAAATGCGACGCCAAGATTCCGACCATTCACATAGAAACTCAGTCGACCGTATTCCATATCCAAAAGTACACCAACAGTATCTCCATCCTTACACGGATCTGCATAGTCTTCAATTGTATTGTAAAACTTGTGTCCAGTGGCACACGAGAATCCCCAGCATACGCCTCGGCTAAAAATGCTACTATTTAGCGCCAATCCCACCGCTGCAACACCAACAAACACTCCATCACCACCTCGGGCACTTTGTAACTTCAATTCCCAATATTTGATGCCACATGCCAATTCACATGTGCCCAGCACAGAACCACAGCCTTTAGCAATTTGCACTGCAAGTGTATAGTCATCCTGAAGTAGAATAGAAGTCGAGCACTTTTTCACGTCAAACTGAACAATAGGCGTCTGTAATACCAGAACTGGATGCTCAGGTCCTGCACCGATTGTACTCTCACCAAGCATAAGATGTGGTTGTATTTCGTGTTTGCTCACGCTGTCCGTCTGCACGAGTGACACAGCAATTTGAGGTCCCAATTTCAACTGGCTACGCACAGCATCCACCATCTCCTGACCCGAGCTTGTTAGAGGAAACGGAAGTGAGAATTTGATGCGCTTTGTCTTTGATAGCGCATAAAATGTGAAGAGAGGCACAGCTGCAACGAGGTCAGAGTGGACGTACGCGTATCCCCATGGGAATTCGACGTGCGCAAAACCCTGTCTTGAATCTTCAGGTGATGCACTTGTTGACTCAACATCATGTAAAGATCCATAGCCAAATGGCGTCGCTACTCGCTGCAGCGGCGAAGAAGTTCGAGGTCGAGACGCTATCATCTTGAAGCAATGACCAAAGTGGTCTATTTCTTTCTGTCTCAAAACCGCATGTAGTGACATGAAACGACACATTGCAAGAATCCTCATACATCTTTACTATCAAAAGTTTTTCAAGATAGAACTACCTTCCACGTATAATAAACCTTCTTTCTGTCATAAGCACTACCATATTGAAGTGGAAAATCATGGGTTGCACTTTGTTGGTCAATACTTCAATGGGCGCATTGTGCTGTCACTACGAACACTTGGACGACTCGTTGCTGTCGCTTCCGCGAACGTCTGCAATGGATAGCAACGTTGATTTACTCAACGCTGCTGCACCGCTTGCTGCTGTGTCTACTTCAGTCCGCATTTCTTCCTCATCTTTGCCAGTGAGTCAGTCCTTCGCCAACTATTTGTCCTTCCCTTTCCCATTCTTTAAATCCAAGATTGACAGCAAAATGGAGAGATACATTTCACAGCCGAAAAGTAAGTACGACACCTCACACTCCAGAGCTTTGATAGGCGAGCACTGGCGCAAGACGTCGAATGGGACGTTCATTCCACTTTCTCTACTAGAGCTCAGTGTCCGCAGTATCTGTGCTACAATGCTGGTGCTCAACCATGATGCATTACAAGCTACACTTGTCCCACCTGAAGTAGCAGCTATCATGATTGCATGGCTTCGACAGCATTATGTACTCGAGAAGCCGCAGTTTCAGTCGCTTGTGCCGTACTTACTATTTGAATGGAACCTTGCAAACGTCCAAGAAGTCGAGGACTCGTGGTTCAATGACGTACCAGCGACAAAGTTACAGAGTGTGAAGAGCATCGACGTATCAGGATGTACCCAATTGCAGCAATTTGGGTCCAAGTGGGGAAATCACGTATACAAACTGCCAGAGCTGGTAGTGGCTTCATTTAAAAAATGTACCCAGCTATCGTGGAAAGTTATCGAGATGTTACAGTACTCAACAAAGTTAACGGCACTTGATTTGTCGGGGTGTCTTAATGTGGATGACAAGTGCCTGAAAATAATAAAAGTGCTTGTACATTTGACATCGTTGCAACTGGTAAGACGAGAAAAGTCATATATATCGTTTAAAAAGTGACGTTTCTGATTGGATTGGTACAGATTGGTTGTTATCAAGTGACAAATTTAGGAATTGAGCATTTGTTACCGTTAAAGTATTTAGAAAAATTGCGCTTAGGCCGCTGTCGAAAATTAACGGACGAAGCTTTTGATAGATTCGCGACATCGTTTTCGAAGTTGCGCGAATTGGATGTTGCTTATTGTCGATTAAGGTGATATTTTTGATAGTTTTGTCTATATGATTTTGTTTACATGGTTTTGACGATTTAGTAATGTTGCCATGGAGCATATTGGGCGGATTGAAAGTTTACAAGTTTTGACGATACGTGGCTGTCCGATCATTACAGACGACGGCGTGGCAGCGCTTGCTGGTCTAACGAATCTTATAAAATTTGATGCGCGACATTGTAGTTTGATTCGGTGGGTTCCAGCAGAGTGGACCCAGCTTCAGGTTTTGCTGATTGGATATACTGCATTTGATGAGACGAATGTAACTATCCTTCAAAATCTAACTAAGCTGCAAGAAATTGAGCTTCACAAGTGTCACATTAAAAAGAGGTGCGACTTTTCATACAGCCACAATAGTTGCCTTGCTCAATTGCATTTTTATGGTTGAGCGCAGAGGATTCGATATCATAAGCCGGTTGCCATGCCTTGAACGCTTGATGCTGGAAGACACTGACTTAAGTGACTCTTCCCTACTAAAAATTTGCAACGAGGCAAAAGATTTGACGGCACTTAATGTTTCAGACACTGAAGTCAGCGATAGTGGAGCTACGGGCCTAGCAAAGCTCACGAAGTTGCGTATTCTTCGATTAGATACATCGAAGATAACTTGTAAGGCACTTGCGAATCTTTCAATTCTCACACATCTTGAATACTTGGACTTGTTTGGAGCGAAGTAAGTACATCAACAAAGAATGCTGTCTTGATTTCATTACTACAACATGGTTGTTTACACAGTATCTCGGATATTGGTCTCATGCACCTTATCCCGCTGCGCAACCTTCAAGAATTGACGGTATGTGGAGGTAATATTAGTGACCGCGGAGTGGGCTTCATTTCAAAAGTGACGTCGTTAACGTCTCTAAATCTGAGTCAAAACACGTATGTACAGCATCCCTTTTCATCAACACACGATTTGAACGACTAAGAACAAAACAAAAAAACTTTAACAGAAATATCCGAACCAAGTCGGTTATCTATCTCCAAGCTCTTACTGGTCTTCGGTGCCTGAATTTGTCAAACACTGGGATTTCTGCTGCCTCACTTTGTCATCTATCTCGTACGTAGATGTGACTTACTCGCTCTTTATTGTTGCTATTGATCTCAAAAAGTCGTTTGAATGGACTCAGCTTTAAGAAATTTACAATCCTTGTCCGTGTACGGGTGTTTGCTCTCTCGAGATCATATTGAGGGCTTGAAAGGTTTATTGCGCTCTTCGTTAGCTCATTTTGTGCAATACTGATACTTTCCATGCAGAAATGTTGCCCGAGCTGACGGTTTTGCGTTGCACTTAGGAAGGACAAACGCTAGTTATTGTTGTTTCCTTCATTTTTTGTGTGGAGCTTATGAGTGTGAAATCAATTGTTGGAAGTTTTGTTAAATTTACGGTGGTTTCCATTTTTTATTTTTGACGCAATAATATGAAGCGACGCATGTCAGTCTCGCCTTAATGAACAGAAATACCAATAGGAAGAGACTGTCGCGGTGAAGAAGAAGCTCTGCGATTATGCAGGCCCGACAGGGGAGTGCTCTTCGGCGTATGGAAAAAAACTACGATAGTCGCATGGAGGAGCAGGTGGAGGATCTTCGTGACAAAATGAGGTTATTACGTAGGTGTCATTTCTCTGTATATGGGTGTTACTCTTAACTTACTATCGTACGTGAGCAGAGGTGGATCGAAAAAGCAATATTCATTTACTTGAATCCAATAAACAAACGAATAAGGAGTACATTCGTCAACTTAAGAATGAGAATCAAGAACTGCTCAAAGCGCTTGCAGACTTGAAACGAACTTCTTCTGCAGGTGGAGCTGGAATTGTGCAAATGTTTGGATTTCCAGCTGCTAGCAATCTAAACGGATCAGGAGATGAAGCGGATGAAATTGTGTCGATAACACAACAGGTGAATAAAGCACGGAAACAGCATGACAATTTCAGGCATCGTGTACTATCGCAAACAACATTGCTGGAGGAACTGAAAGATGAAGTTAAAGATTTGGTGCTGGAGACGAAAAAACCGAGCTTAGAAGACACACCGGAGACTCGTAAGATTCGTATGCTGGAGAATCGACTAGACAAAGCAATGATTAAATTTAATGAGGCTCAAAGTATTCGTAAAACATACGAACAAATTGTTAAGCGACTCAAAGATGAGCGTATCGGTTTTGATAACCAGCTAGCAGCTATTGAACGGGCATTGGCTGCAAAGCAGCACGACTATAACGAGCTATTGCTGTTATCAGCTGATGCTACACATTCCCGTGATGCAGTACTGCTGGAATTAGAAAAAGCACGAATTCAACATGAAGATGAAAAGCGACATCATGAAAAGGAACTACGCGATAAGCAGCACTACGTGAAGATTCGTCTTAATATTTCAAGCCGACTAGACAAGCGCGAGCGATTGAAAGGCGCTGTTATTACAAAAGAGCTTGGAGAATTAAGTCCAGAAGGAGAAAGTCAGCTTGAGGCGCCGCTAAAGTCTACAATAACACAACAACGCAGTTCAGAAGAAGAGAAAAAAGAACATCGTAGTAAAATTGACATATTCGAAAATGCCTTCCGAAAAATTAAAGAGGCCACGGGGGTCAGTGACGTGAATGAAGTTATTCAAAAAATCACTAGTCAGGAGAGTACGACAGACAGCTTGATGAATCTTTTGAAGGAGAATCAGGCTCGATTGGAGCGATTACAAGACGAGCATGGCGGGCTTAAGGCTCATGTTGAAGAGCTCAAGTACAGTGGATCCAATGGTGGTGGTCACAGACGGAAACTTGTTGACGATCTAGAGCAGAAGTTAAGCTTGGCTAGTATCAAATTGGAACAGGCAAAGCTTAAATATGAACGTTTGGCTAGGATTTTAATTGGTGTCAAGGCTGGAGTTGAACATCTCGTGGATAAGATGGAGAGCATATGTGAAAATGAGCAAGTTAGTGTCATTACGGACGACACAATTGTTGAGGCACTACAGGAAAGTGAGGTCACCCTGACACTTTTACTCAGCCGTATAAAGCTTGCAGAATCTACAAAATCATCGAATCAAGCATATGTGAACTCGTCAGATGTGGAACAACAGTCAGTTCTTGAGAAGCATATGCCTGAAGATCAACCAAATAGCTTCATGGCATCTGAAAGTCGAATGTCGAGTTTAAATTGCGAGAATCTTGTTGCCCGACCATACAACCAGCGTATTGTATTACCAGGCATCAACGGACGTACTGCTGAGGATATCAAAATGGATGATCGGGGTGCTATTACGAATCGAAACAGTTCGAGGGACGACACAGAAGAAGCATTGAGTCGTGATCGTGTCAAACGGGCTTCTTCTCAAGTCATACTAGCACATGACAAGAACAAGAAGCGAGTGATGAAAAAAAAGCTTAAGGATCATAATGAATCATCGGACGAAGAAGGTAGCGTTGTTACTAGTATAAATGGAGCAGTAAATGGTAGTCCTTCTGATGCACCATCTCGAGGGTTTACATCTACAAAGCGTGCAATATTTAAATCTAGCAAAAAATAAAAGAAAGTCAAACTTCATACATCTCACTTCTTAAAAACTGAAGTACTGATCAGGTTTAAATCCAAGTTCTTCAAGAGCTGGAAGCACTGCAAATTTCAGCATTGGCGGAGGTCCACACATAAAGATCTGGACATTCGGTGCAGCAGCGGGCAGGTGCTTCTTGATCATATCAGCGGACACAAAACCCGTCGAGTACGGCCATCCGTCGGACGCTTTGTCCACTGTGTACCAAAACTTAAAGTTTGGATGGGTCGCAGCCATAGCTTCAATTTCGTCGCGACATAAAATGTCATTTTCAGTTTGATTGGCAAACAATAAGTAAAACTCCGTCTTATCTTCCGGATCTTGCAGCGCCCGACGTACAACTTGTAGCATGGGAGTAATTCCAGTACCACCAGCAATCATACCGATTTGAGCTGCTTTACGAATCTCAGGTACCACGTCACGCACGCGGTGCTTGATGTGAATCTCGCCTTTGCCCATGTACGAGAGTTTTCCCTTGGGGCCAGACACTTCAATAGTATCTCCAATAGCTAAGCTCTCGAGATGCTGACTCATCTTCCCACCCTCTGGAAACTTGGGGTGTACATTTTTGAAGTACACTTTAATCACTAGATCCACGTATCCTCTTGTGTCATCTGAGCTCACAGGCGTGTACGAGCGCATGACTACTTTACCCTCGTCATCGGTGTAACGCAGTGAAATATGTTGACCCACAGGAAGTCCAAGTACGTGCTGATTCGATGGTAGAGCAAAGCGAAAGCGACGTGTGTCATGCGAAAGAACCTGCTTCTCGATCAGCGGAAGATGGACGGTTGGGGGCAAATCTCCCGGCTTTGCGGGTGCCTGTAGAGTTGTGGGCGTCGACTCACGCGGCTTAAGCCTTACCAGCAACATTAAAAGCGTCGTGCCAGCTACAAGCGCAATGCCGAGAAGCATGCGAAAGTCTTGGCCCACCAGAGCCTCAAGCGTATCCATCACGAATGATTTTCTAAGTAGGATTTCAATTGATCAATCGTACGGTACAGTACCTGTCTTGAGAGCCAATTGACATGCATCTACGTCTAAAATGTGTAAACATCCGGATGCATCATACAAAACAGAAAGTTGGCGTGTTTCTTTGATATTATCGTTCTTTTTAAACCACCGAGTATCCTGCTCCAACGGTTTCGATATCATCTTTCACCATGCGAATTGGTCGCCCCGACTACAAGGCGGATAGATAAATTCGAAGAGGATGTACGAATGACAGACACCTCAGCGCGCGTTTGATATTTACGAGAAGAAAGAGTAACGATTATGTTTGAACTGTTTGTGTAGGTGTGTTCGTTCAATCATACTTTTGTTTGTCGACTTTTATAACAAGTAGCGACTTCCAAAAAACTGTAGCGGGGCTGTCGTAGCTCTTGGGCTTAATAAGGTCATCGACTGTAACCTCCAAGAGTACCCAAAACTCAACTTCTGCTCCTGCGCCTCGTCGAGGCGATTGGGAGTTATGCCACTTCCCCCGAAAGTCGAGAGGTTGGACGCGGAAGCTGCGGGCGTACTGTCCCTAGTTTCACCGCGTGTAGGAGACGAAGAGGTACTCTGTTCGCGGGCGCTCTCGAAACTAGCAACGCTGGGTGTAAATCGTTTTGTAGACACAGGGCTCATTGAGCAAATAATGCGCGAAGATCCTAAGGACGTAATGGTGTCTCAGACATGCGATCCTCACACGAGGCAACAGTTAAATATGAATTGTGGGTATTCACAATTCTGATGGGGAAGAGTGTAATGGGGGTTACACATACTCTGGTATGAAAGGGTGGGTGGGTCACACAAGATGGTGTGACCCTACAAAGGTGTGGAATACACAAGACGGTATAATCACACAATGGTGTGGCTACACCGTAACGAGAAACCACTACGTGGTGGGACTGCCAGTAGTTATGCATATTAATCAGGTTTTACAATTTAACCGGGAAAACGTAAGATTTTAGATATAGGTGACTCTGCCGCAAATAAAACAGATAAACACAGTTTTCAATTATTGGATAGAAGAATACACTTGCCTTGAATTAGCGCAAATGGCTCGGTCATTGTTGTATCACCTATTAAAATATGCGAAATGGTGTTGGGACATCAAGCATCGGGAGGATTTTTGACAGGATCAAAGACAGCCTCCTTCATGCACCAAAATTGGCGTTGCCAGACCCCGGTTACCCTTTCAGTATCGTCTGTGACGCTTTGAATTTGGTCATCGGCTGTGCACTGCTGCAAGCAGACGCCGAGGGGCGAGATCGGGTGATCACGTTT